ACACCAGGAAGAATGCAAGCGAGTTTCCAGGGAGGGTCAAAATTTGAGATTAGACCTGTCAGACAAGTTTCAAGATGCAATTAAGGTTCTCATTTTTATTTACTTATTTTTGTAATATATTATGAAGCTACCTTTTGTATTTAGTATTTATGATCACAAACAATTGCAAGATAACCCTCCAATATTGGCATTTGGTTTCTGTTTATCAATGTAAACATGTCCAATTATCATCTCTGAATTCCAAAGAGTTTCGAAAACAAATGCGTGTCTGTAAGTTTGAAGCAAGTACATAAGTCATGATACCCTATATGACTGCACATATATTTTGGTGCATGTATATAAAAGTATCTACCCTTCTGCTTGCAAAAAGCTGGGTGTAATATTTGTTGACTGAGTCTGTACTTGTTGCACTAAGTAGTAAGCAATATGTGCCAGCCTGTCACTTCACTAGCAAATTGTTCTTCCAAAATTTTGCACCTTAATATTGATATTTCTTGTGTTGCTGTCAACCTTGTTGAACTTGCTACTTTCTTTTTTGTTTATATTACCCTCGTTTTGTTGTAGGAAGTAAGCAAAAAGCTGGAGGAGCAGAAGGATGAAAGTATATCTCAGCTAAAAGAGAACGAAATGTAAGGAAAAAAAAAATGTTAAGTAAAAAAGAAAAACCAGGATTATATTCCATCAAATACTGTAGAACCTTTGGATGATTGACTGTACTAGTGCAATGCTAATCTTCATGAATGCATAATGCAACATAGTTTTGAAAAGTAGCTTGATTAGGTTTCTCGTTAATGAAAAAAATACACCCTCATGACATATTTGCTATATTAGCTGAATGGTACTTTGTGAATACTGACCTCTTGCAGCAACATGTAATTTGTTCATAATTTTATGAAGGTTTGTCTTGTTTAATTCAAAGGGTCATTTAGTGCTCAAGTTCCATTCAGAAAATGTGCCTGCTATGAATGTGAAACGGTTTCCTACGTTCATCAAATAGTTTGCAAATTTATATGATCGCACCAATCAGTTGTTTACCATTGGCATTGGATCATATCGGATAATTTTTGCAAATATTTTAAGAACAAATAAATCTGCTGCTGGCTCTCTCTCCCTCTCTCTCTCTCTCTCTCTCACACACACACACACACACACTCATTCTTGCATACCCACACTCACACACACAATACGCACATTTTCTGCTAATATTTAGTTATGGAAACCCAGTTTATTTTTTTATTTTTGGAAGAACACCTTTCTTGACCTTCATGATTTCCTGGCACTTTTTACTAAAAAAATCAAAAATAAAAAATAATATAAAGAGAGGGAGTAAGATAGAAAGTAGAAGCTCAATTGCAGTGTTGAGACTTGAGAGTTCTTTTGGGAAAACTGCAAAAAGCATGACAATGAAATGTCTGCTCTTTCAATATTAATGTTTGGCATTTGCAAGTTTTAAAAAAATACTTCTTAAACTCCAGGTTGAAGACCAAGTTAAAACAGCTTGTCGATCAGTACACTCTGTCCGAGCAGCAACATGCACAGCAGGTAAAAAGCTGCTCTCCTAGCTTAAGAGTGTGTGCTTATATAACGAGCTTGTAATCATCTTCAAGTGTTTGTTGCGTGATTTGATTTTCTCATACGCTGTTTCCTTTTTTGCAGCTCAAACAGAAAACTCTTGAACTTCAGCTTTCTGATTTAAAGCTCCAGCAACACGAAGAGAAGTTGAAGCAGGAAAAATCTCAGATGAAATTGTATGCTGAACAAGTGGCCCAACTCTTAGCAACTGAAAAGAACTTGAGGTTGCAGTTAACAGCTGACGGTGAAAAATTCCAGCAATTTCAGGTAGTTCTGGAATAACTACGGAAATAACCCCTGTTGTTTGCCCTAGTTAATAACTAATACCACAATTGATGTTTAGATTTGTCTTGAACTTTACAAATTTCCACTTGGTAAAATTTTCCAGGAAGCATTGTTGAAAAGCAATGAGGTTTTTGAAACATTCAAACAAGAAATCGAGAAGGTATGTTTTCTTCGACATCTTTTGGCTATATTCTGCGCTTCTTGGTCCATGTTTTGTTTACTTCTCGAACCAAATGTCTCTGTATGAAATCCAGATGGCGAAATCAATAAAAGAACTCAAAAAGGAAAACAACTTATTGAAGGGCAAATGTGAGAAAACTGATGTGACCATTATTGAACTCGCCAATGAGGTAATCTTTTTCTTATACACCTCTGGAATAATGTTGGAGTAACAAAGTTCCTTGTCTTTTGCTTCTTTTTCGATCGGCAAACAAAGTTGCTCATGCCATTGCATCTTTTGCTTCTTTTTCTAGCTCCCCTTTCTTTTGGAAGGTGGATGCTTTTCCTTCTTGGCTTAAGGATCTTGTATGTGTCGATACTCTTTGATCAGTTAATATAAGTTCCTTATCCATTCAAAAAAAAAAAAAAAAAGAATAATGTTGGAGTAAAATTCCACATGATACTTATTTTAGTTTCTATTGTGTTAAAATATTTCTTTGTACCTGGAATTTGGTGTCTATTGTAATGCAATGACTTCCCGTTCATTATTAACTTCCCCCTTTCGCCTTTCTTGAGCTTGCATCATCATCAACATCAACATACCCAACATACCCAGTATATTCCCAAACAGGTTGGGGTCTGGGGGGGTCAGTTGTACGCAGACCTTACCCTTGTAATTATACAAGGAGGCTGTTTCCATAGCGACCCAAGGTGCGTTGCGTCGTTTGATATATTTTTTCTAGAAACTTCACTAATAGAAGAAGCACTAGAATTTAATTGAGCCATTTTGATCTAGTCCATTATTTGCACTAGAATTTCTTGAGCTTGCATCAATGTGAAATTTTGTTTTCTGGCATTTAAATATTGTCATGCAATTAATTTGGGTCGTTGATGTATGACTTCTACCCAGGCCTTTTAGTTTGTTTATATATCATATTTCTGTTAATGCCTGATTCTGGTTCATTCAGGATTGGGATAAAATTATTAAACCATCCTTAATGTTCGACTTACTTACCTGATAAAGAGAAGAAACCCTTAAAAATCTATGAAATTTAAATTAAGTTTGTAATTTGCAAGAAAGAAAAAAAAAAAAGGTGAAAAGGTTTTTTGTTTTGGCAATCTCTAAGACGACCAGCGCTTCTGGTCAATATTTTAGCCCTGATTTATTTCACCCAAAAGATAATTTTATTTATTTGGTTACAGCGTGAACTTTTGAAGAAACAACTGGAAAAAACAAGAAAACAGAAGGAAAAGCTCGAGTCATTATGTCGGTCACTCCAAGCAGAGAGGAAAAGTAATTCTGTTGCAGGCAATAGCTCAGATTTAAACATGAATGTTTAAATTTAATTCATGTGTTTTGGAATACTACTGAATTTAGTTATTGCTGTTTCGGGTTGCATACTGTGCTTCCTGTACATGGAGGCACAAACAATTGTTCCATATTTGTAATGTTCTCTGTTGTGGGCCTTGTGGCTACTACAATGTATGCTAGTTCAGTTTTTGTTGGCAGATAGTTGAGTGGATTTTGGTTGTGTTGGGTTTTTATCCCTTGTATATTACGTGACCAAGAGAACTACTGGGCATGCCTTTTATTATAGCTTAGTGCAATCTTGCTTCTGTGCCCAATTTTGCCCGCTTCATCAGTTTGCAATTATTTTCTATATATTTTGTTGCGGTGTGCTCCCCGGGCCATTTTGTCTCCTGGTGTTGGGGTGGGTGGTCCGACAGTGTGGGTTTTGGGTTGCCGGCGGTGGTGGACAACCAATTGTTGTTGACCTGTTTGGTGTTGGGGGTCTCTTTGGTTGGATCGGGTGTTTCCAGTAGGAAGTTCGACTTCTGTTTGCGGGTTTAGTTAGGCCTTGTTTGTAGATTGCAGTTTCTTGATGATGACTGAGTCATGTTTCTGTTTTCCTGTCGCGACTGTTCATGTGTGTGGTTCGGTGTTTGCTAGCGGTTGTGGAGGGCTTTTTCTTTTTCTTTTTTTTTTTTCGCTTTTTTCTTTTTCTTAGGTTTTTTTGTTTGTGTCATTTGTAGTCTGGTTTGTTGTTGGTTTATGTGTGTTGTCTTTCTTCTTTCTGTGTTGTTGGGTGTGCTTATTCTCGAGTTGTGGAGTGAGTATTCTCTTTTTATGAAGAGATTTTATTTTTCCCTTAGAAGGTATTTAGTCGTGTTGGATTGTAGGCGAGTATACCGTAATTGCTTCTAATGTAAAATATCACACAAACAAATGTCACAAGTGGGCTTGACCGGGCACTGTGCAGAAGCGTAATAGAGATATTTATTTATTTTTTTTTTTCTCGAAATGATAGAGTTTTATAAATAAACACTACAATCAAAAAGTAACTAAGCAGTTGAATCCAAATGGAGGCCTACACAACGGTAGCCTAGAAGCAACCGTTGAAACACACCCACAAAACTTACAAACTCTCACTAGTCTAGTGAAGACTAAGCGCACCCAAAAGGAAGAGAAACATGATACAAAACGCTCCAAAAAGGGAGATAAAAACACTGCAAAACAAACACACAAACAACAATACCAACAAAGACAACACTACGAAAAACACTAATACTTACAGTACAACCTTCCTCAGCATCCGACAAGTGAAACCACCTCCACTTGAGAGCCAACATCTGAAGACAACCATCGAGAAACGACATAAACACGACTCAAACCACAAATCTAGGGACTCCAATACTGCTACACGACTAACTAAATTCGGACGAATAGCCATATTCCCATCCAAAAGGAACACCACCAGAACAACACCAAGAGACAACACACATCAAACACCACCAGCCACCAACCACTGCCAAACCAAACAAATGAAGATAGCATTGCCTAGAGAAGCAGGGAAGCATGCACTAGCCTCAACCCCGGCCACCACATGAGCGATGGACAGTGCCGAAAGGTAACGACCTCACCGTCGAGTAAGCACAACCCATCTCGAAACCCCGCCAAGCCACCCGGAACAAAGGGCGAAGACGGAGGGACTGATCTCACCATCTCACCCACCACCCGAGTCCGACTAACGAAGACGGAGACGGGGCCGAAATTTGCGAACTATCCCCAAACCACCGGAACCGCGACCTAATTCTCCCCTCAAGGGGATAGCCGGAACACGCATCAAACAACCTTCACAAGAAGAATTGCCAATAGGAGCCGGAAGACTCGGTCGGGAACCCCAGAGGAAAGAGCACGCCAACCAAATCAACTCATCTATCAACAAAAAGGATAGAGGAGAGAGGGATAGTTGGGATGACATGTCGACCTCGACCCAACGTCAACCACCTCGAGCTCAGGAGAGCGGAGAGGCAAACGGACGGAGAAGAAGAAGTTTACTAGGATTTGGAGGAGAGACTTCTTACCTTCTCATCGGACTCTTAACATATCTTGACCATATATTTATGCAGCTTTTCTATGGCTAGGAAAGGAGATGGTGTCACAAGACCTTTCAATTTTCTTCCCGTTCAAAATAAATTTTTAGATCTTTTTTTGCACGAAATTTATGGCTTTTTTTGTAAAATTCCACATAATTTCAAGGGTTAGGCTTCTGAGAATCTTTATCAAGCATAGTAGAATTTATATGAATTTATACAATTCAATAATGAGGATATTACAAATTAAATTATATGAAATTGTAGATTTCCATCAAATCTTTAACAGTTGCATGCCAAAGATAAATGAAAATTCATCTTGATATGACTTTCATAAAGCGATTCAGTGAGGTGAAAATGCCTGCCACCTGATCCACCAAAGATACTTTCTCCAAATTATCTTGACCACCAAAAACCATCTGTCCAAAAAACAAAAAGAAAATTTATCTGCATTTTCATGATTTTTAATTTTTTTTTTTTTGGAAAATAAATAAATGAATCTCATTCAACAAAAATTATATGATAAAATTTAAATTTTTTTTTTTTTTTTTAATCTGATCTTTGTTAACATGAGATATTCGGACTATCAAAATTCGCATTATTAAATTTGAAAAATCGATCAACTAATAATGATGCATAACACACAAATTACTTTAAAAATAATATTTATATAAGTTTAAATTTTATTATTATATAGGAAAAATGAATGTTCAATCGAAAATAACAAAAACATGGTTAATTTAAATTATAAACCAAAGTAATAAACATATAATTGCGAAGTTTAAATATAATTAAATATTTTTTTCAGTCGGTTTCATACAAATGAGTGGGCGACTGACCTCGAGTTCATCTGTATCCGGACGTTGTATGAATTCCTTAGCAAGCACATACCTATTGGGCCTTTCCTTATCATCATAAAACACCTTCCACACTCTAATATCCATTCGAAAACATTTCAATATAGCTTCAAAACCACTGAAGACTTTGTATTAATAATGATAAAAGTGAAAATGTACTTACTCAGGGTAACATCTAAACACAGCTCCTGATGGAAGAGGCTTCATCGAGTAGACAACAGTAAATGTGCTGCATGAAAATTATGGAGGGACCGGATAACTTCAACAAGTTATCTCATACAAAAAGTGTTCACAAACAACACGATAACATTTGTTACGTCGAAAAAAATGCACCAAATTGTTTCAGCAGAAAAACTAACATAACGTAAGCTTTAGGATGAAAGTAAAAAAAAAAAAAAAAAAA